AAAAAAATTGTATAACATTTTACAATTTAACTTTGAAATTGCAAAACGGAATGCTTTGAAATCAAAAATTTTAAGTTATCGCAAGAATCGATAGTCAAAGTGTAAACTTGTAGTTTACAAATGCAGTGATTTTTCCGTACTGCCTATACACGGTGACTAAAAAGAAATTACGAGTGAGGAATTTATTTTCTGGATTAAATCAAGAAACACTCACTTCCTTTTCCGTGATAACGTAATCCCAAATTTTGTTATGGAAAAACTTACTTGAAACGTACGCCTAGCGCTTCTTTACCTTTGCTTTAACACTGCAAACATATTATGTTTAGGTTAAATTATAGGGACTATCTTTAAAAAAAATCGCTAAATCAGATTTTATAATTTTTAGAAAAAACTGGATATGGGGTACTATATGCTTCAGGGGCGAGGGAAGTTCTGTCTGAATAATAATAACAACTTAATTAAACTAAATTTAGTAAACAAAATTTTTAAGTTTCCTAATTATGTCATAAATTTTGATTTTATTACTATATACTTCAATTTTAGGATAACGCATATGTACTGTGTTCAAATTGAACAAAGATAGGTATATTATTTAGTCAGATGTAAAGCAATATTTTATGCTGCATGCTCAAACAGAAATTTTATTAATATAATTTTATGATAACGACGATATTCTTAGAATTTAAGAAAAAATATTTAAATTAGTCGTTTTAACAGAATCAATAGAAAATTGCTTTGTTCATTATTTTAAAATAAAAAATTTAAAAAAATAAAAACCATTCTTAATTTATAAAATGTTCGCAAAGTGCAAAGACACTGGCCCTTAAGACGAACTGTTCAATAAACATATATTCATAATATTTCCAGACGACATTATCTAATTTCTGAAGGCGACAAATAGATAAAAATGTTGGTCGAAGTTCCGTAATCACTAGAGCAAACTTAGTATCTTATTAAGATGTCAAGGTGTCCGTTATATAGGTTCTAAAACAAGTTTAATTTTATAAATTTTATTTTTTTAAGGTAACTCGTATGCATAAAGATAAGTATGATATATTATTGAATGTCAGATAAATACACATATTTTATCACACTATAAATTAGTCATCAAATTTTTGGTGGGGATATACACGCAAATTTTGGTTAGCCTTTTATTGCCCATGCGGTAATTCCAACAATGCGGATCTGTCTAATAAAGTAAATAGACAAGTGACGGACAGACCGAAACGCAAGACTGACGTTTTCGTATTCTACACGCTGTAACGTAGCGTTAATAAAACATATCATTTGGTATTCGTCAAAATTAGTCTATTCTATTCCTTCCGTAGCTTCTACGCTCGGGAAGTAAAAATGGGGGCCATCAGTTCCATTAGTTAAACAGTGATACACCTAAATCTAATTTCCAGTCACAGACCTGGAAAAAAGATCGCTATCGACATTCCAAGAAATCAAATTCGTCTGCATAATTTCCTTAGCTAAGCAGTTTCCGTTCAGCAGGTGTGAGCACTCTGGAAATCCAACCCGCAGACACTTTTTTCATAGACAAATCTTCCTGTAGAACTTCCCAAACACTTGTTTCGGGCAAACCCTAGCGATAAGGAAGACCTTGATTCATCCATCAGCATAAAATTTTCAACTTTGATTTTGAAATAATTTAGTAATAATAACAGCAATAATAATAACTCTAATAAATATTCTTGTGCAACAGACTGTACATAGTCTAGTTAAACAAAAAATTGTATACCTATATACGTACGAAATACATACTATACAATATATGTACGAAAAAGATTTCTACGAGCAATGGGACTGTGATATACATTTTCTTAACGATGAAATAATTTGATACATCTTACATATATAACAATTATTCTCTTAAATATCACATCAGAACAATTATTTTTCTATCTCAAACACTTTATCATAATGTGATTTCTAATTTCGTCTCCTCTTTTTTTATTATTGATTAATATGTCCACTACTAATTTCAACAAAATTTGGTCTGCGAATTTAGCATTGTAAATTACTTTCTTCCAAATTTGAACATTCAACATACCTTAGCTGAAACTATGCATCTTGTGTGAATTCATGGTGTAGTTATTAAAAAAGAGTTTTAACAAAAATACCAAGTAAAGTTTGATCTTAAATCGAATTTACATTTCAAGATTATATCAAATCAACGATTTCTTTTTTACTTGTGTCAAGTTTAATGTTCATTACTTTTAACAGTATATCTAGATTTATTTAACTTTGGATTACTTCACCATTATATATTTTGCGATAAGAGCGTAAATTATGGTATTCTGTTAACATAAGAAACTAATTATTATCACTGCATTACCTCGACACACCTACTTAGTGTTAAATGTGCTACGTGATAACAATTGCTCAAATTCAAAAAAACCTAACTAGTAATGCAATAATTTTTGCGTCAATTTATCAACAGGATGCGAAATCTAATCTATTTGAAAAATAAAAACATACTCACCATCGTTTAACGTCATTTTTGTTACGCATATTAAATGGTGAAATCCCTCGTCAGGCTTTTTGACGTTTTTCGTTAATATTGACGTATTTCCACATATCCTATTTTTAGTCAGAGTCAGTCATCAAATAAACAACGTAAGGTCTATTATTTTTTTACTTCCCGAGCGTAAGTTAAGGAAGTATTACTGTAATTGAGTCGATCAGCGGATTGGCTACTTTCATATTTTTGTCATATGTGTATAATGTATATCATGTTGATGGTAAAACGCTAAACAAACTTTGTCTAATCGTCCACACCAACATCAACAGTGTGATGATGTCAACTCAAAACTGCATATAGTAAATGGGTTTTAAATTGTATGAAATAACATAGTCCTACACCCGTAGCTCATGAATCCGTGTTGAGTTTTTACACGAGACATCCAGATTTTTGGGGAAAAAATGTTAAAAATTCTGTCGAAAAAGTACAAAATACGATCAGTCTATATTTGTTATTTATCACTGCATACAGGGTGACTCAAAAAAATTATTATTTACTTTACATACATATCTTTATTTTAACTTATAGAGGTTTTCTTAAAAAAAATAGCAAAATCAAATTTATAATTATTCTAAGAACTTTGAAATGTACTTACTTCATGAAGAGAAATTCCGTTGAGGTAACCTACGACCAATTTTTTTAATTTCTATTTATTTCTATTATTTAATGAAGTTAATTTATTTCAGTTTACCAGAGTACAATGAAATTTTGAAGATGGATGAAACTACATTGAGATCCATAAAATTTAAATCCAAAAAATATTTAAAAAAAAAGTGTTTAAATACGAGATGTATTCTCAATACTTAAGGAATGTATAATTCCTGAGCTAAAGATTGTACGTATAAGAAGGTTTAAACCTGACAGAATTATTTGCACCAAAATGTTCTCACTTCTGGAGTACAACCAATATAACGTCGGCTATGCTGTCAAGACGAAGGAAATTCGAACAAAATGACCGGCATATTTTTTTCAGAGTGTATAATGAAGTGAAATACTGACGACAACATGACATGAATTTTTAGAATATTGCAAGAATTGAAAAAAACACATTTTCGTGACTAATATTAAGATAAAAATAAGGTCAACCGACAAAAATTAATTACAAATTAATTAGCACTGAATTTCCCTTACGATTGAAGGAATACTAAGCACGTCAAATAATTTTTTTTAATAAATATTAATTTATAGTATATTTTTTGAGACGATAAAACTTAAAAAAGCAGCAAATATTAAGTAAAGGAATTTAAATAATGCTATAGGAACTTGGAAATTAATCAACCAAAAACAGGAACAACTAAATGCATTTAATAAATAACGTTACTGATTTGGTCCATTACAAAATAGTACGTTAAGATCACATCTTCAATTCTGTATTAATTTAGTCAGGTCAAGTGAGGTCTTGTCAGTTAGCAGGGAAAATTAAAAATTGTATACAATATGTACTTACTAACGATTTTAATATTCCCATGTGAAAAACTGTAATGTGTATTTAATGTAGTATATGTTACGTATGTACTTTTTTGTATTCTGTATTTGATTTGTTGTACTTTTATTGCGTGTGTAAACTAAACATAAATAAATAAATACATTAAATATATAACCCTAACTGTAACGTTCTTGTGTTTACAGAATTTCGAGAAAATTGCATAAAGGCCATTTCTTAGATAGTCGCAAAAGTAAACCAGGCGATACATTATTTTTCCTAAGAAATACTCTGTCGCAAGTATGTCAAAATTGATCGTTCAATGAAATTTATTTAATAATTTTTGAAATGATGCTATCAGCTGTCTGATGAATCTTCCAAAATTTGTAAGAAATTCATTCCATCGTCTCCAATATACAGTTTATATATAGGAGACAATGACAAGATTGACAACCTGAAGTTTTGAGTCAAAGACATCACCAACAGGTAGTCCGAAACAGGCAACTTAACTTTTTGTGCTCTCCAGCTTGTCAACCCCAAAGCGTGAAATTAGGCATTCGTCAATATGTTACAATACTTCCTTCAACTATCATGCAGGAGTCAGAATCGAAGGATAACAAGGTGGTGTGGTTTTACTCGAAAGTTGAGAAGAACGTTAATTGGAAAGATATCTACGGTATGCTGTAATGATGTTATCATTCTTAGCTAAAACTTAAAAATAATAATTACGGTTTTCCGAAATAAATGAATAAATAGCGAAACTATTTTGAATTAATCATTTTCACCTGGGGCAAAAATCGTGTATAACGAAGTCAAGTGCACCTCACATTCTTACAATTCAAAACGTTGGTTTAATGAACTTTTTTCCTTAACCTATTAACAAATTATAAAGTGAAAAATAAACAAAGTGATTATTTTATATCTTGATCTTAACTTCTGAGGTTAACCAAGAAGGTTTTGGTGAAACATACGCTTAATGATAATACAAACGGAAAAATAATATTACAATGTGAAGGTTTCTGAATGAATGAAAATAAAACTGTAGTTCTTTATTTCATGATTTTTACAATACATTACAATAATATTTCGCCATCCTAATTAACAACTACATTAAATAGTTTAAATTTTAAATTATCACCATCAAATGTATATCACAAGATTCGTTTTACACTACAATTATTTCCGAAGAAACCTAGCAAACCACCAATGCATTTTAAAATACAAAAACTCCTTCTATGGTGTACGGAAATATGTTTAACATTGTTACTGAAACTTCAGCAATATAACAAACTATAGCTATATTTATTTTTTATACCTATATTACAATAAATACAAAAAAAAATATCCTAAATAAATAGTATCCACTAATGGCTTAATAATTATTAAAAATCTAAGCAGATATGAATACTTCCAAAATCCGTTGTCGGTTGTTTGTGAAATAAGAATTCATATCTTTAATAATTCAAGACTATAAGGTTGTAATTCAATATCCAACAATGTTCTTTGTAAGAAAAGTTGCAAATAAGAATACAAGCAATGCTTTAATATAAAGATCTTGTGTTATTTAAAGATGCGATGTCGACGTTCTTAACTAATATTTTCATAATACTTCCACATAATAAAAATTTAAAACATTCCTTATTCCGTAAATCATTGAATTTTTTTAGATTTGATGCCAGAATACGTTAAAAAAACAAACCCGCCAAATATAAAATCTAATAGAGAGAAAGTGCAAATATAAGTATTTAATCGAATGTGTTAAACCAAGAAATTACTGTTTTTTAAGAATAATTTTTTCGTAGTCGCATTTACGTAACTGAGTTGTTCATTATTACAGTACCTACGTAGAGTGTGTACTTATGCTGTGAAATTTTTGTAAGAACTAAGAATTAAATTTGAGAAAAACACGTTGATGTGATTTTTGATTAATATAGTAGCACAATTTTTATATAATATGTTGAAAAATGATGAATAATGTATGTGAAATTTTCAGAGGGAGAAAGAAATTTATCAAAATCTCTCAAATACCTCAGATTTTATGTTTTCTTAAAGCAGTTAAATTACATTAAAAATTTTGTAATATGCAATGAAAAAAAACTTTCAACGATATGATAGGAAAAAATACTGTATGCATTTTAGATGCTACTATATTTTCAAAAATTAACACAATTTTTGTAATCGAGTCGTTTCTTAAGACATAATTCATAATGTAAAATAAATAAACTCATTTTACATTAGTACCAATGCTTAAAGCTATCCTTATATTATATGCGGAACGAAGATAATCATAAGAATTTATTTACTGGAGCAACTTGTATAATTCAAATAAAAGAAAACGCAAACAGTAAAAATTACAGTCTAAGCAAAAGCATCTGTAAAGCACTTAACAATAATAGACACTTTTTAGTGATAAAATTGTGTAAATTTATTATATTATTATCAACTAATTTTTCATTTTGTTTAACTAACACTATTTACTTCAAAAAAATGAAAACCCAAAAAAGAGAACGTTCAACAATAAATCTTTGGAAGTGTCAAATATTCAAACTGCGTTCAAAAACCTTTTGTCTGAAAACTCAGAAATTCCGGAAACGTCGTCTAGCTGTTTGATGTTCTCGAATTAACCGCAAAACCGCTTATAACTCACACAGTAATACGCAAAAGCGGAAATTAACCGACAAAAATCTCGATGAATCATCAAAGACCACATCTGCAGTTCGTAATTAATTGACGTCGATAGATCTAAGTTCAGTTTAAAAAGTTCCAACGAAAAAAACTAAAAACTTCCTAACGATTCAACATCTAAAATTTTTAAATCCTGGAATTCGAACATAACCGCTCTGGAAAACCTTTTGATCGTCGATCGTGTTAATATGATAAGTAAGGAGTTTTTCAGCGGCAAGTGGATGCCAAACTCCGAAAGTGCAAGCAGGATTATCTTCAGGGTCGTAGTAGTGGCAACGTTTTGTGGCCCGAGCTGATGGAACGTATTCGAACATGTCGATGAAGTTGCACAAGGGAAGCAGAATGCCCAGACCTAAAAGAGAGTTCAAAATATATTTTATATTAACTTCAATAATGCATATTAAAAATAAAAAATGTAAATAACTATTCCAGGAAGAATCTTTATAAGAAAAAATGTATAATTTAAGATTTATTTTTTAATTTAAATTTAACACGAAAACGAAAACAGATGAGATATCTTGCAGGCCTTATTAAAACGAAACCTAAAAAATCTTGAACATATATTCATATACGATTTTTAACAAAAATCTTCACTTATAGACAAGCGTTGCTCAAAATATTCTCTATTTTAATAAACAATGAAGTACATAAAAACAATTTATGTAATTGTTAAGCATAATACTCCTTTGGAGAATACAATTTCATAATGGTAGTAGCCGCAACGAATCATTTCCGGACAAAAATAAATTTTACCATTGGATTTTGAAACAGCCGTAAACCACTTCCTAATTGCTGTAGTTCCGAAAATTTATACGCGCGTGTAGATTAAGAGAATGATTAATATATACCTACATAACACTTATACATTCATATTTTTACTTCCTCTACATCCGATTATACCTGCGCCAGTCATATTATGACAAATCCACAGGAACAAACCACAAACCTCGTAATATAGTATAAATTATAGTATTTCCCAAATAATACTGTAAACATAACATACATATGTACGTGACTTTTATTTAATCTATTAATAACAGAACAGAATGGCAATAAACAATCATTGTTTCTCAATATTTATGTCGGATACAGATTGCGTGCTCAATTTGCAAGTCACATTTTTTAGAAAAGTGGAAATTAAATTGATGATTAATTTACTGGTCTGCGTGACATATGCGACAACACATGGTTTTGATATAAATTAATCAACTTCATTTTCACATTTTAAATTTTCCACACACTCTCAGAAACAAATAATATCAATTAAATTTACATGACCCATATGATTTTCAGAAAAGAAATATTTCCATCTTGTTCACATCAACAAGCATCATTAATTAATTATTTCGCTTGTGGAATTTTAACTATACTTATCGACTTAAAATAATGACAATTAATTTGAAAAAAAATGACCATGTAAAAACCACACAAAATATATTCTCGTGGAATATTTTTGTCATCACAATTACTTAATTGAAAATAATAAACGAGACTTACTAAGTTAGTGTATACCTAATAGAAAAAAATATCCATTGACGATTCCGTCCTATGAATTCAGGTCTTTTGGGCCTACACAAATGTGCAGATTGATTTTTCAAAATTTATGAAACTTTCAAAATATTCTATATTTTTGTTTATTAGTGCATATAAAGACGGTAGTAATTTTGTTTTATTTATTAATGTTTACTTTGTTGACTTACTTAATGTAGGTTCTACAAGTACAGAATGGATTTAGCTAAATTTAACAAACATTTCCAGTAAACACTTGTGCTCTAACTGTGTTGATACACTGTTTCTTATAACACCAACATTTATACTTTTCAAGAAAAAAATATTGCAATCTGTTAGTGCAAATATTAAATAAAGAGTAAATTGAAAAGATCTTGTGGGAACCAGTGCATGCTGTAAAGTACCAGTAACGGATTTAACAGAAAATCAAAATGGGTCTCTTTACCATTAAAACCTAAATATACAAAATTATAAGAAGCAAAAACAATGAAACATTTTTCAAAGTTTTCAATATTTTAAAATCGCGTACATAAGCCACAATTATTAAATTTTAATAATTTTTGTGTTTTAACAAGGGATTTTCTCGTTTTTTGTCTGTATATTTCGGAACTGTAACCACAATAGATGCAGATTCAAATGTTTAGCAAACGCCACCATCACATTTTGCAATGTCAAATTTTTAAAATATGTTGTAAAAGTTTTATTACCAAAACTATCTTTACACGGTACAGTGATTGTTGGACACGGTTTATAACAAGATCAAATGTTCTAAAGGAAATCTTTACTATTGTAACGATTTGAGGTCAATTTAAGGGAAAGTGTATCAAAAAGAGCCATTTTTTATAATGAGGGTGCATTGTTTCAGACAGTCCCCATTGAGATTCAATATAAATTGAATTTGATATTTGTGTATTAATGTACAACGTTCTAGAAGCTAATTTAGAAACCAACTACAGAGTGTCCATAAATGATTCACACATTCAGCACTCGTTGGAAAATTTTACATTTTTTTTTAATCAAAGAATTTTGCCGCCTGTAAGAAAATATGTTGTTACATACGATTCTACTTACGAGTTAAAATTTTGGTTTATCGATACAATTACTGTTTAAGGAAGTGGTTTAACGTAATGATAAAACTAATGGTAAATTTGACGGCGTATAAATCGTTACAACTCAGATATTTTTTACTTAGAAACTTTAAAATTTCATGATCTTCAATATTTCAGTAAATGCTGGTACTTTTACTGATAAGTTTTTGACACACTCCTTAACCGGAACTGAGTCATGGATTAAAAAGAATCGTAAAAATTCCCTCGCCCCCGAAAAACAGTCCAACGAATCTTTGTTCTTTGAAAAATTATAAAATTTGATTTTGCGATTTTTTTGTGATAGCCTCTATAAAAGAAAAAAGTGTGAATGCATTAACTACAAATATAGACTCAATGTTTTGCACATTTTAGATGGGAAATATTGGACCAAATTTGAGAATAAGGCCATCAATTTGGTGGCCGGGGGGAAATAAAATTTCATTAACGATTTACCATGTTTACGGTAACCTTACAACATTTGTGAGATTTCGAACCATTCTGTTACCCGTTTTCAAATTTAAATTGTAAAATGTTATACCCTTTTGATTTTTTTTTTTTTTCCAAATTCTGGGTGTCTAGAGTTAACATGGTTTCAAAAACCGCAAGTGCAGGAGAATTTTATAAAATATAAATAACATTCACTCTTGTAATCCTCGCGTTGTTGGGAATGCTTGGACAAATTTTGGTTACCATAAGTACAAAATTTAGCAAGAATTGGTCCAGTAGTTTCGGAGTTCAACTGTGTAATAAAAAGCGGCACAGACGACAGACTACTGGCAGGCAGGCGGAAACGGCAGACTATTTTTTTTGCACTCTATGGGTCATGAAACGTTAAGAAAACATGAAAGTAACCAGTCGGCCGATGAACTCGGTTACAATATTTCTTCAACAACAAAACGCACACAGAAGTTCAGAATTCGCCATTTAGGAAAATGGCTGTTAAAATCCCATATTGATATTTCCTCTTCTTGACAGTTGTTGAAAAACTCACCAATTTGTATGTTTGTCTACAACGTTGTAATAAAATGCACTGTATAAATCAGTATTATCAAAAAGCACCCGGGATAATGTTATATTCGTTATCTGCACCGGTAAAAAAAAGTTAGAGATATAAATGATATATTTTACTTTTACTCATCGAGAACTTCAAAATAAAATCAAACAATACTACATTCAAATAACATACAGTTGAGAGTTCACATCGTTGGCCTAAACTTTTCCAAGCAGTAAAATATAAAAGCGTTACGAAAAACGTCAAAATAAGATGTAAACTTAAACATCTATTGTCATTTATACATACGTGATAATTCATCTTGAACGATCATAATATGTCACCAAATTATTATATGAACTATAGTTGGGTTGGTAATACATCAAGCTCAAAAGTCTTATATCAGATTTCACAACAATGTGTTGTCACTCCTTACAAACACATGGAATTTCCGAAGAAGTCAGTACATGGACTCTACACAAACTAGTTACTTACACACATATTAATAAGCATTGCTACCTGATGCTAAAATTTGATTTTATTTAATTAAATGTTGTATATTGTAATAGGGTCCATCCGATGAATGACTACTTCCATGTTTTCTAGACGTTTTATGGCCCCTGGACTACTTCTTTTTCCGTTTGTCTGTCTACCGTTTGTTTCGATTTTTGTTAAGCAGATTATCTCTGGAACTATTGCACCGATTGTTAAATTTGATCTGTGTTGGAAATATCGTGTGGACGGTAAAACGCTAACCAAAATTTGTCTGTTCATTTTCACCCACGTGTAATGACGGCACCTTAAAATTTTGCTCAATAAACACCATTTCAATCTTATAAAATAATATACGCCTGTACTTGTACTGATAAAGCTTATTTTTGTTTATTATTATTATTATTATCATTATAATTTTGATTGTCTAAACCTGCTTTCTTCTTTAGTCAAATAATACCTAACTAGTAAATCTGACTCATAGATCTGGGTATTCAGCTGCTTTCCAGATGAAAAGGCTTATTTTATTAATAGTATCACACTGCATGTGTTGGAATTGACATACGTGTCCTTGCTCATTCCAATGGGTCAATTCACTAAAAACACAAGTAAAAGCCAATATATTAATATTTTTGGAGCAATTATTAATTAACTCTTCCTTTTATATCGTCGGTGACGAAATGCGAACTGACACTCCGCACCAGAAAAAATATAAAAAAGACAACAGAGTGTGTTTTCGAAACATGATGCGTTCCAATCAAACGCAGTGGCAGAGTGTGGGTGATTAAAGTATGATACATTGTGTTTTTTCTAAACAACTCGATTTTTCAAAAAATATATTTTGCTATTCATCGGAAACGGTTTTAAATTTTTAGAAAACGACAATTTTTTAATGTTAGGAATTTTTAGATGAAGCAACATTAAAAATGTAGATTTGCTTAATTTATTTTAATTTACAGTTTTGCCACAAGTTGACTTGAAAAATGCTAATACCAAAAAACGGTTACTAAAAATAAAAAAAATAAAGGATATATTTATTAGTAAAAATCAGATTGTTAGCATTTGAACTTAACTAAATGCTTATTAAAAAATTAGTCTAAAATAATTACGACAGAACTTACCTCACCGTACAAGCACAAACCATAAAACAATCCCAGTTGATTAGTCAAACTATATAATTTGATTCTGCAATTTTCTTAATAAAATTAATTTAATACGTATGTTAAAAATAAAGAAATATTTTATATTTTTTGAGATGGCGTCATTAAATTTTTGATAAGAATGGTCAAATAAATTTTGATTTGGTCTTTACCATTGATTTTGACGGGATATTTTTTAAATACAACTAATACTTCATAACAATTAGTTCAGTAATTTGACAGATTTATCTATCTAATTTAATTTCTAGCCAAGGACACCGGCGCCGTATGGCTACAACGTCCTTGACGCCAACAGACGACAGACAGACGGAAGCAAGAGACCTATTCTTCCATATTCTAGGGGTTATGAAATCTTGAGAAAATATGAAATTAGCGTTCGTGAAATTGTCTATTACATAACTGAAAATTTAAAATTCCAAAAAATGATGTGATATAGAAACATCCATATTATTTTCATACTGATAAACAAATGAAAGAAAAACTGCATATGGGTGTTAAACACCGCAAGCTAAACGTGAATTGTAATTGTGCAATCTATTGAGATTAAGCGTTCATAGTACAAGATGCGTCATCTATGACTATGATTTGTCGGTTTATACCTATACACATAAAATTTTATCTATTGCTTCCCTCACTAGTAGATAATCAAAATTACTTAGCTTTCATTAGCTCGTTGTTAGTTCAAGATTAGTCAGACCAGACATATTACTAGTCGAAATGATACAAACGTGCCCTAGTTTATATCAAAATATGTAAAATAAGAAGAATATGAGAAAATAAAGTAGGTATAAACAGTTAAAGCATAATGATATTAATTCGTTCTACAAATTTTGCAGAAAAATAAAAATGTTCTAAACAAGATTTAGGTACCCTTTTCAATTAACCTTAACAATTCAATTACTCCCGACGGATGTTTTTTTTTTTCTGGAACTATATTAATTTCTATGTAGAGATTAATAGAGATTACATCACTATGTTGCAAAAAAGCGAATATATTGCATCAAGTGGTGTTATATAATTACTTAATAGTCATAAAAAATCATTATCTTTTTAATTGGGAATATTGATATACTCACCCAAAAAACCGGAAGAGAGCGGGTTTCGTCTAAGCCGATTTGGAGAATTATTTTGGAGAAAATCCCACAGCTCCCACAAACTTTGTGGGTTTATTAAGAAAAATCTAGCTTTGTCATTTTTCTTTTTGTATTCAACATACGCAGGAAATAAATTAAATTCGGGTTTTTCAAGCCACTCATCAAGCGACGCTTTATAGTTACTCGGATCCCACGCCACAATCGTTACATTTTTATAAATATCTGATTCAAGAAAATTAAACTCCTTCCTCGTAACCACCTGGGAGTTCAATAAGCGCACGGTTGTCTTTCTGCCTACGTCTTCTTCGAAACCTTTCGTCGGCGCGTGATTGAAACGCAGCACCAAATCATGAGAATCTAAAATTCAAATTGCTAATAAGTAATTCTTACATTAACTTAATGTCATCGCTTACCAATCGTTTTGCCTAAATTAGAATCTTTAAGAGCACCGGCACTAGCAACAATAGCGCAACTGTTGAATTTCTTGTTCTCGAACAGACTTCTTTTTGGAAGAAAATCGCCGAGATTTTTAGGGCCTCCAACTACATCGCCTCGTTTCAACGTTTTCACTCTAAGTTTTTTTAATTCGCACATAATTTCTTTAGCTGCTTTATCACCAAAATTTCCTTTAGTGCCTTCATACTGGACGTTGTAAGGATTTTCTCCAGCACTTTTAAGAATGTTGCTTTCGTCCTCAAGAACGCGCCGTAACTCCTTCAGAATTTTTTCTTTGAATTCTGTAGTTTTTTTTGAACAGTCACTAGGTGTGTCGTTTTTCAGACAAATGTATTTTTTAGTGTCCAACTCAAAATCTTTGCCTTGGAGATTGGGGAATCTGGGTTTGCTATTTTTGATTAACGTGAATGTGATGTTGTCTTTAAGGCTATGTTTACTTCTAAGTTTGGTCTCTGTTATGTTATGGGTTTTATTGGTATCGTTGGGCAGAAAACCACGATTGTAATAGTAGATTTGTTGGTCATATGTTGATGTGGTGGTTCCCGTCTGGCGTTCCATAAACATCCAGTATTGTGACCATAGCAGGTACATATACCCACACATGCCAAAAAACACCAGATTGATGAAAACCCATATGGAAACCACAAGGGCTCTCATTGTTTCAACAACTATCTAAAAAGCGCCATTTTTTTCAAACTATTATTGCCCTAAATGAGCTGGGATTACCAACCAAAACAACTAGCGTGAAATCAATATCCCCAAATAGATAAATTTATTAACAACACAAAAATAAAACAACTCATTCTAACAAAATAACAGAACATATAGAGAATAATGATTAATACGACTTACGATTCCGAAATTTTTAGAATTCTGTTGCCGTTTTCGTATGAAAAATTCATTTTCTTGCAGCTGTGCAATTTATTACCCCTGGAATTTATACTACACTACGAGCATGCGTGTTTTTTGTTCGCCATAATTATCTTTAAATTATGCCCTCATCTTCACCCTCATCCTTAGCAGATGAATTTCAGAGAAGCTGGCTAACTTCCTTAATTGGAATTGGATTATTATGTCTAGGAATCTGGCTTCTAACGTGGAATGAGGTTAGATTTGTATTTTTCGAAGTGAGGTTATGTCGCTTGTTGCAGGGCAGAGCAGTTCACCATGCCCATTCTTTGGACGAAGCTTACAACCATGTCATTTCACTAAACCCATATGAAAGAATACGCCCAGAATTAGACGGCCATTTAGTGCACATTACTGGACCTTTACTAATTGAGGAACCCTTAACTGAACCGGAGTATGGTATCTCCATACAAGCAGTTAAGTTGAAAAGACGGGTGCAGATGTATCAATGGGTTGAGGAGCGATCGTGAGTTTATTACGCGTATTCCAAAGTAATTTAATGAAATGGAAACAATTCTAGACCCAGAGATGATATGGATAATGATCTGGACCACAGTTACAGTTCTTCAGATTATTATTATGTGACAGAATGGAGAGATAAACTCGTAGACAGTAGCGGCTTTTACATAAGACATGGTCATCAGAATCCCACGTAATTATGAGCCAAAAAGTTCCATGCTGCAACTGATCAAAACTTTTAGGGAAATCCCCTTAAGATCGTACATCTATATTTCACCATTTGTTCGCGTGGGTCATTTAATGTTGGGAAATCATATTAAAGAGAAATTCACTGATTATGTAGAAGTCACAAGTGATGAAAGACCAGAAAGAAGAGATGTCAAGTTACATATGGGGATATATTATCATTGTGATGATGTCTGGAATCCAGAAGTTGGAGATATTCGGGTGCAGTTTTATTATGCAGGATTGGCTAATGAAGTTGTATGTTTTGTTTTGATTTAATTAAAAATCACTTTATTGTTGTTTAGGTTACAGTAATTGCAATGCAAAAGGAAGGAATACTGGTACCTTATACTACAACAAAAGGACACAGAATCGCCTTATTACGTCATGGCGATTTATCTATTAATCAGATGTTCAATGCTGAACATTATGACGTGAGACTTGAAACGTGGAAATTAAGAGCTGCGGGAATTTTTATTTTATACGCTTCTTCCATTTGCCTCGCCAGGTTAATAAAAATTCTCTGTAAGTTATGCTGCTTTATTAAAATATTTGTCTAATGAAATTAAATTAGTTTTCAGGATTCCATTATTAAGAAATATTGTGGTTGGAGATATGACTTCTTCAACAAATTTTGCTATATCTATTTCTGTGTCATTACTTGTTATAGCAATTGCTTGGATTTTATACAGGCCAATGTTAGGAGCAGGATTAGTTGCTGCAGCCATAAGTCCATTTTTTTATTGTACAATTGGAATGTACAATATTGCCCAAAACCAGAATGGTTATTACAATAGATGAATGGCATATCTGCTCATTAGCGTGTACTTAATAAGAATTTAATTCTGCTCTAGTCCAAGTTATAGATGTTGAGACAGGTTATTTTAGAGATAGAGTTGTGTGCAACACAGACAATAGTTGCTTAATAACTATAACTAGTCAAAGTTACGCAATAAGTACGTAATCTTTTTATTTTTGTGAAAAAATTCGCTAATAAACTGTTTACACAGTAAACAAAAAGTGTATTTGTATGGAATTGTTTCTTTACGATATCAGTTATTAAAACCAGAGAACATATTAAAACTAATCTGAAATTTTTACGATTAATTATATCGAAAACTTTCTGATTTACAGTAGGCTGTAATATATGCGGTTATTGATTTGAAGATGACATTGCCTCAGTTTTAAACGTATTTATTTATCAGATCTTGAGCAAACTTTACATCCGTCGGCACACCTAAACCCATTTCGTTGATTGCAAGAACGCTATTTGTATGACATTTTGGATATCTACTGTGTTCTCTCTAACCTATTTATTATCCACAAGAAACTACTCATGAAAAGACGCGGAACAAATGTTCCTTAAATTTTGTAAAATTACATGCTCCTTGTATGTGTAATTTAGAATCCGTGTTGAGTTTTCCCCTAGACATCGAGATTTTAGGGAAAAAATTCAAAATTGTATTTTATAATTTAACTTTAAAATTGCAAAAGCGAATGTACTGAAATATTCCAAATGTTTTAGTTATAGGAAAGATAATAAATCGATTAAGGCTTTCCCAAAAAATTATGACGTCATTTGAGAATTGTACCGAACTTTAAATTTTATAAAATAACATAGTCATGCATATGAATCCGTGTTGACTTTTTACCCATAGGTTCCAATTTTTGAAAAAAAAAAAAAACAACAATATAAGTATAACAATATTTTACAATTTAACTTTGAAATTGCAAAAACTGAATGTTGCGAAATCATAAAAATATTTTAAGATTGGTTTTGGACCTTTCCTCCACAAAATCAACCAAATTTCATTTTCTTTTAACCGCTAATGTAATCTGAACGTGCTAAAAATCGAATACTGTCGAAGTATAAACAAAAATAGTTTAAGTTAAGCATATACTGAGAATGTCCATATTTTTTCTCGTTAGTTATCTGTTTGAAATATATTTCATATTTAAAGAAGCAGGAGTGGCTGGGATGTTAATTACGCCATTTTATAGAGGTTAGCAGTTATCGCAAAATCTAATTTTATAACTTTTTAAAGAAGCCGAATTTGTCGGACCATCCTTCAAAGGCGAGGGAAGTTCTGTCAAAATAACCTTCCTTCCACAATGTTTTTCCTAGCTTTGTTTTTCGTGGTAGCGTCATCAAAATTCCAAAAACAGCATAATTTTTTCAAAAAACATCTACTCGTATAATCTATATACAAATACAGCAGGGCTCGACTTTGTAAATTTCCCAGTGGACTTCCATGTCCTCAAACCGACGCTGACTCTTATTGACTTGAAATAACCTTCATACATATATTCGAAATTGTGTCCCTTTCAAGTGCTTGGAATTTTTGAGAATGTTAATTTTTATTATTTCCTTTAGCATCTTTACGAGTATTTCTCTTGCTCTTTCTTGTTTAGATTTTCTTTTTCATTTGAGCTATTTTTGCCCTTATGGTAGGCTCCCTTCCAATTTTTTCCACTATTTTGCTAACTTTGCCTGTAACTCAGTTTCATTGTTGAATTCTGCATCTGAAACTTTTTTCATCATCACGTTTCTAACCTCCGACTTCTCTTTCTAGTTCATATTCTTGCGTTCTGTTTTTCCATTTCGACTTTTAGTTTTACATTCTCTTCCTTCACCCTTTATTAGAACATTTTTTTAGTCTTTTTTATGTCATACTCGTACATCTCGTTGGTCCACTTTGCCTGTTCTGTCTGACAGCATTTATTTGGTTGCCTGCCTTCTAGCATGTTACCACAGTAGAGATAACAATTGATTACTGATTGTTATCTCTACTGTGATGTTACTTTACTTTACTAGTGCAGTTTACCGCGTAAATATCATGGCAGTTATATGACAATTATTCTACCTCCCTGGTAAATATCAAAGAATATTAAAACTTACGAATAATATAAATAATATTCTTTGGTTTAGTTGTAATGAGTAAGTACGTAGCTTACTGAGTTTTGTTTACATAGTACTGAACACATTAAACAAAAAAAAAAAATGGAAATTTTTGTATTATAAAGTTACAAAAAATTATTCTATAAAACAACAATATTGGAATTTGGCGCCTTTATATGTTCAGTAATATCATGTAAGTACTTCTTTATCATTACACAAATTATCCATCTTTATTTTATTTCGAGGAGTAACCGGTAAAATCTGAGTGTACTTACTTTACTTACGGCCAACTGCTAATCCAGATTTCCAGACATGCATTGCATGTCAGAAAAGTATACCTAGTTTTGATTCGTTTGATTAATAAAAATATGTCTGGAACTGACATAATGTATCAGGGGTGCCAACCAGTCAGTGTTTGTTGCAGCCTACTGCAGCTTACAATATTTTCAATCGCACTCCGCAGTCGCACAGTATTTTTGTTATTATATCTGCACAACCTGTAGCATGGTGACATGTGTGACAGATACATAAGTGGTATAACCTCAATAAACAAAGATGAAGTGTAACTTTTTAAAATTCATGTTTTTAATAAATCTATCAATAATTCGCGGAAGTGATGTTTGTTTAAAGAACGGAAATTCTAACTGTAGCGACCCGAAAGTTAGTAAGTATTCAAAAGGTAAGTTTCGTTCCTGATATTAGAATTTTATAGTAAAATGGGAAAAATTCTAGAGGTAAATACAAAGTACTTAAAATATTTAAAGGATTTTACCACAGCCAAAGAGAGCTATACACCATGTGATAATACAAAGTGTGGTTGTTACTCTTCAGAAATAGCTAACGATTTGAAAGTATTTAATAAAGGGATTAGTAAGCAAATGGTCGACAATATAAAAAACAAGTGAGTGTGAGGTGAGTAACCGTTTGATTGGATAATGCAACTGTAACTTTTTTTAGAGGTACAAAATATCAAATTATAAATCATCGTCTCTACAGAGACAAAAATTGTATGTTTCCAGCTCGATGTGATGGCATTGAGCATTTCCTCCTCAAGCTTTTACCAAAATTGCCTGACACGGAATTTATTATTAACACTCGAGACTGGCCTCAAATTCATAAAAATTATGGTCTTTTTGGGCCTGTATTTTCATTTAGCAAAACTAAAGATTATCATGATATAATGTATCCTGCTTGGGCGTTTTGGGAAGGTGGACCAGCTATTTCACTCTACCCCAAAGGAATAGGTTCGAACTACCGTACTCATAGTTTGTAATCTTATCTTACTTTAAAAAAAAAACAGGACGATGGGACGCTCATCGCAATCGGTTAGGAAAAATTGGTAACAATACTGCTTGGAGCGACAAATATTCTAAAGGTTTTTTTCGCGGTTCTCGCACCAGTTCGGAGAGAGATCCACTGGTACTTTTGTCTAGAGAGAAGCCAAACCTAGTTGACGCACAGTATACAAAAAATCAGGCTTGGAAATCAGATGCAGTATGTTTTAACCATGCTTGATATGAAAGTTTTAAATGATTATTTGCAGGACACTTTACACCAACCTCCTGCATCTGAAGTTTCATTTGAAGAGCATTGCAAATACAAATATTTGTTTAACTTCAGGGGAGTAGCAGCAAGCTTTAGGTTCAAGCATATACTGCTGTGTAAATCTGTGGTTTTTCACGTGGGAAATGAATGGTTGGAATTCTTTTATCCTGCGTTGAAACCTTGGATCCACTATGTTCCTGTTGAGGCAAATGCAAATAAAGAAAACCTGGAACAATTGCTAAAATTCGTAATGGATAATGATGATGTTGCAAAAGAAATTGCTCACAGTGGGTTTAACATGATATGGAATAATCTTAAAATGGTTGATGTCTTTTGTTATTGGCGTAAACTACTTAAAAAGTATACAGCTTTATTAACATATAAACCAGAACTTGATGAGAACTTTATAGAAATTAAGAACTGATTTAATTTCTCATAGCTTCACTGACACTAAATGAAACTGACAGACAATAATCTCGCAATGACAATAATTAGTATTAAGTAATTTATTAAGCGAAAGTGATATTTACTCTTCTTATTTAATATTGTAATATTTATTTATACCTATTTATAATTTTGTATTTGTTATATATGTGTAAGTGTATATTGAATGAAAAATATAGTCATGTAATGCATATCAACTCTTACTGTTTCATTGTTTATATGGTATTATTCAATACATTTTTCTGAGTGGTAAATTTAAATTTTTGTAGATGACAATAATAAGAAATTATTTTTATAATTAATCAACGTACTCATTGTGGCAATGAAGATCGTTGTCTGAATAAGTTTAAATTAATTTAAGAAATAATTTATTTGTCATCTCCACAGATACGGAATTGTTACAGAGTCTATTCGGCAAATGGCAATTTTTTTGTTTTTCTCGATGTTTCATAACCTGTTGGCGACTTCATTATATAGGTAATGTTCAAAACTACTGGACTGATTAATGTGAAATCAACCCCAATGACAATGTCGTCTCAAAATTTTAAAAAGTAAATACTGTTTAAATTTTACTGCTTTACTGCTACGTTTGTGATTTATGAATCCGTCTGATTTTTACCCTAGACTTCCAGATTTATGGAAAAGAAATAAAAATTGTATAACAATATTTTACAATTTAACTCTTTACAAATTACAAAACTGAATGCTCCGAAATGTTGCACGTTTTAATGTTATCCTAACCATGGTGGTAAATGGCTGATCAAAATTTATCGGTTGTTTACCCCTCTAAAAACATCATTATATCATCTCAAAATTTTGGCTAGAAATATTGTAACCTTAAATTGACATGTGAAAAAAATTTGAAAAGCCCGCGAAAATTCAAAAATTTGGCTTTGGCTGTAATCGTTTAACAAAATGAAACCCTACATTGTCTTTGCTTTTTTTTGTGACGGAATGCTTTCAAATGCAAGTGGTGGACCACAAGATTGGAAAAGTATCGCTAAATAAAACACAAAATATATGGAGGACACAAAATCATTTATTCCTCCTCTTTTGTGCAGATAGCGCCATAAATCCCGCCAGCTCGAATAAGAATCGCGTTTCTACCACGTGTTTCTGGGTTATTTACCTCAATTCCATTTTAAATGTTCACTTTCTATGACTCTGATATTAAACTACAACCGAAGAAGTGCTAAAATTTCAAAAAAAAAAGCATAAACATTTAAAGTCGCAATAAAATGAAATTTTAGACAGCAAAGAATTTTTATCTTAGATTAAGATTGGGTAGCAGGCAATTTATGATTGAAGCATTAATCAACAAAATATTTACGTGGTAGAAATAACTAGGAAAGATTTATAAAAACAAAAAAAGATCTGGTGTGAAATAAAACTTGTGCAGACAAAAAATACGTGAGGTTAGGAACTGCAGAGCATGAAAATTTACGTACACTTTAAATTATACCGCAAAGAAAATTACGGAGGCTAAAATTGTGAAACAGAAAAATCGCAGGAGGTGAAAAATTACAAAGCTAACGAAATTACATGAGGTTAATATTTACCACACTTTATCAACGATTTAAACAAATAATGTACATGATGTTAAATGATGCCACACTTTATTAACGCTTCAAACAAATAATTTACATGTGAAATTATGCCACACTTTATCAACGATTCAAGCAAAGAATTTACATGATGTTAAATTATGCTACACTTTATCAACGGTTCAAACAAAGAATTTACATAATGTTAAATGTGTTAAATTATGTCATAATCCAAGTGACTGGTTACTTAAAACAATTAGCTCTGAGGGTTTCTACCGTGGACTGTCCCCAGCTTATCCCAAATAAAACACACGATAAAAAAAAACACAAAATGCATCCCGTGTTGCGAAAAAAATATCTCGGTGATGATGATGATAACTGCCTAAGAGGAAAAATTTAATCCCCCCGTCCTTTAGTCCACGATATTATGAATTCTACCGCACCTTCCACGGTCCTTTTCCCAGAGTAGGACAACGTTAGGGTAATTTAACTGCCGTAAATGAACTATAGCAATCTTGTGTGAGGAATTAAGAAGTGTTACAATGTCACACTTAAGTATAAGCATCCAGAAACCTTATTTGTAACTTGATAAACCAAGTGAATTTCATGAAATCCCCTCGTAAGGGCTTTATCTGAACAATCTCATGACCGTTGAATTGTGTTAGAACCAGTTAACGATTAAAATCTTAACATAAAGTGTGCATTTACAAACATTAAATCAAATTTACACCACGTGTTAGCGTCGGTGGAAAATTCGCATATTTCTGCTTGGGAAAAACCGCAAGAATTAGCTACACTTGTTGGGAAAACTGTGGCGTCGTCATCGTTACGATTAATTTTCGTTAGACAAAGGCTTACGTCCTTTTTTTAACTACCAAACCAACTAGGCTTAGTCTAGTTACCTTATCGTGTCCTTTCACTTACACCAAACAAACAACAATAACGCATCTACCAAGCAAGCAAACTTCTACCAACCCTCTCACTAGATCTTACCCAGAAATTCCCTAGGAGAGGTACCAATTACCAGAAAAGAACTAAACTTGCACATGGGGACCTATGTTTAACGGTTTTTTAATGATTTTTTTTCAAATTCAAATTATTCAAATGCGATTTCGCGCCGTTGTTTTTTTTTTTCAGCACGAAATTTTAATTCAAATTTGGTCACCACACAATCTACGCTCATCTTTATCACTGTATCAGTGTGTCTACATATTTTTAAACTACTTTTACAACACAACATTTTGTTATGAAAAATTCACTTGAAGCATACTCAGTTTAACAATCCATATCTATGTTTATTTTAACTTAGAGGCGTTATCGTAAAAAATAAAATTCCCAATATCATAGTTTATAATTTGTTTAAGAAACAAAACTTGTTTGGTTATGGAATGCTACCTACATGCTTTGAACCAATTTTTAGACATAGTGTTTCATCTCAATCTGGTACCAGCTGAGTTTAATCTTTTCATTACTACTGAACTTTATAGAAATTAAAAGCTATGCAAGAAAAAATCTACAAAAAAGCCCATGTACGTACCTTCGTTTTACTAGAATTAAAAATAACACCTTTTTATGTGGAAAATACTCCATTTCGTTCAACTTCAACCATTTTCCCAACTTGGGCTTAATTAAGTTCTATGCGTATCTTTCAAATTTTTAAAATATTATAAAAGACTGGATTTTTTCTGATTGTACACTTTTAAAATATCATAGTTTGGGTACTATAAACGTGTATCTAAAATATGTTAACTCTATTTCGATCCAAAATACAAATTGTCCCAAAAAGGGGTGTTGGGGAAATTTAATATATAGACAGAATTTACAAACAATTGATGAGTTCTTTCAAATTTTGAGCTCATCTTAAGATTATTCTGAAAATAACAAGACGTCTACCAAAATACATTTATTTCTTCTAAAAAACTGATGATCCCAGAAACGGTTAATTCAATTTACCTGGTATTCGGAAACCTAGTAATTGTTGATTTATTTTGATTAATTACCTTATCAGTTTCCTGATCAGGCTTTTTAAAATCTGATCTTTGGTTGCTCGTTTGCGAAATTTGATTTTAGATTGCCGTTGGAGTCCAAGCGTAAGTTTGATAACAAGGCGCTTGGTGCATATTTCAATACATTTTTAAAATGTAATATCTCCATTCTTAACAGACTAAATTGTGATAAAATTTTAAATATAACCTGTCCACAACTTTGTTTATATGACACAACAGCGGTTTTTTAAATTATCATCTCTTTTTTAGCATTTGTGTGAAGTTTTTCATCACGTATTTTTCAGAATCAGTATCTCAGTTATTTATGGAAATTTCGGTACGTGGTTTTCTCCACTGTTTTCAGCTTACAAAACTCTATAAGTTACTAGGAAAACATTGTCGACTTTGTTGTATCTAGATCTAGATACCATTTCTACTTCCTTTCTTAAAATAATTTTGTTACAACAAAAAAAAGATCGATTTATCTAATCTGTTTTTATTGCTTCAAAACACCTTTACAAAAGCTTATCAAATTTTAACAATAAAACGTGAGTTTGACATTATGTATATATCTGTTTCTTTCATTGTTGAAATTCAATTTTTCCCTTAGATGCAGGTGCACACATAGTAAAAAAATAAATAAATACTATACTTAAATACTAAAGCTGTAATGTATATCCTAGGTACAATAAATTTATTTTATAAAATGGAATCGATATTTACGTTACTCTCACTTCCATACAAGAACTCATACATAGACGACGCTAGATCATTGATTTGTTCTTCTGATTTTGGCATTTTCATTGCTTTTCCAGTCCTTCTGAACTCTACATCGTTCTCAAAATCTTCATCAGTCATTCCGGCATACTTTTCTCTAACGTCTTTCATTATACAAGCTTCTAATTTCTTATGTTTGTAACATTTGAAGAAAAACATCGGTCTGATTAATTCACGGGACAAAGGTGATCTGTCTTTCTTTACGTCGGGTACACATTGCTAAAACTTCTCTATGGAAAAACAGTAATCTTTTTCAAACCAAGTTCTTACCGAGAATTGCTGGCAAAAGGCCACTCCATCTTGCATATCTTTTTTCAGTTCTTCCCCAACAGGCAATTTTGTAATTCTCTCGTTAATTTTTCGGAAATTTGGTTCCAGATTTTCATCTAAGTACCCCAATTCTTGCATCACACAAGTTATGTTTTTCACTTTACTGCCCATTCGTGAAGTTAGGGCTTCTAGTTGTGCTTTGAGGTCCATATCTCTCTAAATTTATCAAAATTAACACACCTGTTATCATCAAAAAGCCGTAAATAGCTTACCGATACTCTGTGTCCGTAAAGCGATTGCCCAAGCAAAGGATACGCGCCATATCCCGATTGTTGAGGGAATCCTGGATACAGCAGCGGACCAGGATAACCAGGACTGGCATAAGGCAAGCTATACAAGGGTGCCATTCCTGCGGAGGGCGCGTAAGGTCTATAAAAGGGTGCTGGAGGCGAGTTCTACGAAAAAACTATTACCGTCGTTCAAACATGTAGCTGCATCAAAACTTACAGGTCGATAAGCAAGAATAGCCTGATGGAGCTTCTCGGGGTCAAAATTTGGTGGTGTAGGATTTTCCTGTTCGGGTTTGTTGGGAGCCGTAGGTTGCGTCGGTGGTGGTGTTTCTATAACTGCGCATTTGAGACAAGCTGCTCTCATTTCCTTACGAATTTGCTTAACCACTTCTGGACCGAAACAGCTTTCATATATCTAAAAAATAAAATTGTGGTAAATTTAAATAACAGTGAAAAGATAAAGTTACCTTCATCATTGCGTATTTTTTTAAAAACCTGTCTTCGCTTCCGCCAAAAGAGGACACAGTCAGGATGAGTGTGAATAAATTTAGTATAAAAATAATCTTCATTTTGTCCTAAAAAATAAAATACGTGATATTTATAAATTTATAAGCGTGTGCAAATGGGGTTGTGAATGAAATAAATGAATGAATAGTGTCGACATTGCGTTATGTAGTGTAAGTTGTTTACAATATCGTAGTTACAACATCGGTTTACACATATTGGAAATGTTGCTGTGTGATCGTTTATTGTTATTAATAAATTTGGTAACCTTGAAATTATTAGACAGTTATATGTAATATCTACACTATTAAGGAAATTGGAGACAGTTATTTGCTACAATCTTATTTTTGTGACAAGTGAAAATCTCTTTATCTAGCTGCAACAAAAATTCAATCCAGTTTATGAATTTGTATATACCGTGTGTTTAAAAAATAGTCTTTTTTTTCGAGTACAGTATTGTGTAGTCTCAGACTAAATCGTTTCAAAATGTATATACTAAATACGATTTGATTTGAAAAATTAATGTTTTGCTGGAGTTATAAACCGCAAGAATAGGAGTATGTTATTCTGTAACATTTAAATCCTATTTACTATGAAAAAGTTTGAGGGGACATCATCATATTATCGGTGGGGCTGATTAGACACATTTGGGTTAGCATTCTACTATCTACACGATATTCCTAAAATACATATAATATTTGACAACAATCGGTGTAATAGTTTCAGAGACGGCAGACGACGGACAACAGACGAGAGACAGACAGACGGGAACCGAACTTGTACTTTAGGGGTAAAGAAACGTGAGAAAACATGGAAGGAGCCATTCTCCAGATGAACCCTCTATTACAATATTTTTTTTATCTGTAAAATTTACGAAGAGTTATCTTTTTGTACCAAATTTGTTGAGGTAGCAACGACTCTGCTTGTAGATCAGACCGAAGCTTTATATTTATTATATCGATAATATCCGAAACTATTGAACTGCTTACTGTCAAGTTTTATAAGTACTTTAAGAATACCATGTTAATGGTAAAATGCTACAATTTGTCTGATCATCCCCATCAACAATTTGAACACGTCACCTCAAAATTTTCATGGTAAATATTATTTAAATTTTATAAAGTGACATACTCGCGTACTTGTAAGTTATGAATGCGCCTTAATTTTTTACCCTAAACATCCAGATTTTCACACATAATCTAAATTGTATAACAACCTTTTGTTCTAATATAAGAGGAACGCAAAGCACTGGTTGTATATAACACAGTTACAGTACAGCTAATAACACAAAAGTCGCGGGTCCGACCATGTCATGAGCTCATGTGCCACTTTTTTTTCTTGCTCTGTGACTGGCATCCTGTATTTTTTTTTTTTCTAAAAAAAAACTGCATTTGTTCGATTATATTTCAGAGGCGAGGGAAGTTCTCTGTAATAATAACATGAGACCAATGCTTATAGGTTTGTTAGGACAAGACAAGTAAAAAGTTTCGTGCAAAATTCGAAACCTGTATACTGTATGATTAAAATTAATAGAATTGCGTATTTTTAAATATTACCATTTTTCCCATAAAAATGCAAATATCCTAAAAACTGTTTACAAAAATTGGTCGAAAGCTATTTCGACAGAACTTTCCTCACCTGTGAAGTTTACAACAATAAATCCAGATTTTTCGAAACATTGTAACATATAAGATTTGATTTAGTGAATTTCATTTTTTTTTATGATAAACCTTATGAGTAAAAATAAAGATATGTTTTTCCGTTACAAAATTTTGTGATGACGTCAACATTTTCACAAGGATTAGTATACCAATTTGGATATGCAGTGTAAAACTAATAATAACAATACTGCATTCCCGAATTTTCGAGAAATGGAGCAGGTCATTCTTGATTTAATCAATAAAATAAATTGCCCCATTCATTATTTTTTTAAGTCACCCTGTATAAGTAGTTTTAAAAACTATGAGTGCACAGATAAACCACAAGTACAGAGTTACAATATTTTGCATATTTCAGAAAGGATTTATTCGACAAAATTTTGAGATGATGTCATCAATTTTTTTGGAGGGTATAAACAAATAAATTTTGATTGACGATTTACCATGACTACGATAACATTAAACCGATTGCAAGATTTCAGAGCATTCGGGTTTGCAGTTTTAAAGTTAAATTGCAAAATGTTGTTATACAATTTTGATTTTTTTTCCAAAAATCTGGATGTTTAGGGTGAAAATTCAACACGGATTCATACAGCACAAGCGCAGGAGTATATTATTTTATAAAATAAAAAAATACTATTGTAAATTTTGAACATGACGTCATCTCATTGGCGGTGGGGATGATTGGCCAAGTTTTGCAAGCGTTACCACCTACATGATTTTCCTAATGTACACCCAAAATTTGACAACAGTTAGTCCAGTAGTTTCAGAGACTGTCTATAATAATAATAATTGACATAGACGACAGACAGACAGACGGAAATCGGTGATTATTTTGTTCCTACTCTAGGGGTCATGAAACGTCGAGAAAACATTAAAAGTGGTCATTCATCCTATGCACTTGATTACTACACTTCCTTAACTTACGCTCCAGAAGTAAAAACCCTTTCTGTAGGATATATTTTTTCTTATTTACAAAAAATTTAAATTTAAATAAACATATAAGGTATTCCATTTAGAAATTATAACTTTGTTTGTAATCTTTAAATAAGTAATGCAAGTATGTCACTTGCATATTTGCAAATGATTCTAAATTGTAGTCCTTGTTGCATTAGACTGCGTCAAAGATTTTTTTCAATAGTTCACGATAAATGCGTGATTTTCCGGTATAATACCATAACTGCAGTCTGTGAGCCACAAAAGGCCGACTATTCTGGTCATCCCTTTGCGATGAAACACCTTGTTCATGTATTTATATAAAACAAAGTTGGTAATTGGTGGCTTCAACACAATTATAGATATTTTTCATTTTTGAAGTATAACTGACTCATTTTTCAACTTTGGTAAAAAAGAATGTTGTTTCTGCAATAGATACATGAACACAAACACAAAGTCTGTGATCGATTTTATACATCAAAATATTTGAATAAATTCGAATTTAAAATTTTTTTTCGACAAGAGATGAAACGACTGTTAACTATAAAAATCTAACTTGATCTAACTTAACATTTAACCTAACTTGAGTCGATCTGCGAAGAATTTGATGTTGGTTATTAAATTTTTCATTCTGAAACTAAAGACATTAAATGGCCTTAGTTTAATGACACAGCTATAACAAATAATATTTCTTCTTTTATAAAATACTCCTATATTTTAAAAATAAATGAATACATATTTTATTCCTTCCCGAGCGTAAGCTAAAGAAGTATAGCAATCGAGTCCATCGGACAAATGGTTACTTTTATGTTTTCTCGACGTTTCATGACCCCTACAGTACGAAAAAAGTGGCTTCCCATTTCCGCCTGTCCATCTGTCTGTCTGTCTGTATGGCATCTGTATCCATTTTTATTAGACACGTAATTTCCGAAATTGCTGGACCGATTGTTGTCAAATTTTGTACGTACGTTAGAAATATCATGCAGACAGTTAAATTCTAACCAAAATTTGGCTAATCATCCTCACCAACAATTTGATGACGTCATTTCAATGAATTGTATTTTAAAATGATTTTAATGTTATACAAAAATATACTCCTATACTTGTAATGTACGAATCCGCGTTAAATTTTTTCGCTAAATTTGTTGGAATGTACTCAAAGAGCGAGAGAAGTTCTGTCGAAGTAACCCTGGATCAATTTTATATTATAATTTATAATTTTTAAAAATTATTGTATTGTGTTTTCTTTGACTTTTTACTTAGGTTAAACATTTTAATTACTCCATTAGGCGACACGTTACTGAGGAAAATTCACTTGAGAAACTTGTAGTCAGATTTAAAATTATTTATTAATGCCTAAAAAGTATTCCGTTCTTATTCTATTCTCTTTTTTTTTTGTAATTTAAACACTAATATATTAAAAAATAAGTACCTATATAACAAAAATAAAACTGAATTACTTTTTTGTAATTCAATTCTCATATTTTTTTATGTAATAACCATTTTATAACAACTTTTTTTATGTTTTGTTATTAATTGTTTTTTCATTTTCCTCAATAAAAGTCTCCATATAATCATTATTTGCGCCATCAAACCGTGAAACTATCTAAACAGTAACTAAATATGCATTAAGTAGACACTACTGGTCATTTTAATTAGGTAATTTTACACGTGCCGATTCCATTTAATTTTTTAATTTTGGATCATCAAAAACTGTGTAATTTGCTTTGTCATGTTTTAAAGATTTTATTCACTTTTAATAGTGTGTTTATTACAACATAAAAAGTTGCATCATGATGTTATGAATTTTCAAACTGTCTACTTATTGTTAATTGATTTCATTCAGTACACCGGATATTTATTTAACAAAGGTAAACACTGAATGTAACGATTGACGGAGCACCGATTTTTATTATAAGCAATTAACGAAATTACGCTAGTAAATGCATTACATTGTTGTAATAGATAAGCTGTGAACTCATTCGCATAATATTAATTAATTTTGTTTTAATGTTCCTTCTGTGTTATTATAACAATGATAGTCTACATCCGTGGGAGTTTTCATCCGGGTGTACATATGTAGCAGTAAAATAATATTAACAACAAACAAAATGAAGAAAGCATTATTTTCGTGCATTGACCTACAACAAAAAAAGCGATACATCTCCTTTGTACAGTAACGCAGAACATACTTTTAAAAGTGTATTTTTATTTTCATTCAAATTTTAACTTCAACTATTATTACTTTGTTAGAAACATCGTTTTTTAACTTATTGGAGTTATTTGTTTGGGGAAAAGAAATCAATTTTCTTGTATCTGCAAAAATAATTAATTTCTTTTTCCATAAAAAGTTGAGAAGCATCTAATCAAAATCCGACTTAAAAAAGTTTTAAGGATACTAGCGCTCTCTGAAATATTTACGAAGTCCGCCAGAGCCATAACTTTTTATCCATCGCAAAAGTAAGAAGGCAAGCATTTAATAATAAAATTAATGGTATTCAAGCGGCAAATGCTGATAACCGGTCACCTTCCTATGACTGAAGTTGACATTCAGAACTTCTCTCAACACTCTTCATACAAATCAATCATTGTTCTGTTTTGACACTTAGCAAAGACACGCACGTTTTGCCGTTATGGTTGACATCAATTTTTATTTGCACCTATTGTAACGTGGGCGACATGAATTATTTCTGGTTTTTTTTTGAGGATACTCGGGTAACTGTTTCGTGGTGATTTCACTTACGAAACTAAACGGAGAGATATTCATTCATAAAATAAATTCGCTGCTGTCAACGGTACATGTAATCGTTGTTTTTTTCCAGATACCAAGGAACAAGTTCTCGAGTGTTGGTACTGTTTGCTCAGTTCATGCAGCGGACCTTAATTAATGTTATCTTTTTTTATTGCTTAGCATTTTCTAAGTGAGTGTCTAATGATGGTACATCATGTACCGAGCTAATACGGTACAAAAATTAAATTATATTTGATAGATCCGTTATGGCATTGACCTTTTTACCTTTGAGTATTTTTTTTTTAGTGAAGTTTAATAATTTTTACAAATACAATGCAAAGATTTTTAGTATCAAATAATTATAAGTGCTAAGTGTACACTATATAATGTTTTTAAATTATTAGAAATATGTACTTATTAATGTTTAGTTAATTGGGTTCACTTAAAAATGTGTTAAAACTTGAGGGAGATGTTTTTAATGGGTCACTAAATTACAGTTAATTATTTTTTCAAAATTATAACTAGTCCACATACCTATTTTTATGCCAACTCAAGTACAGCACTACGACGCTGAAGACACGTCTCCACCTGAACTCTTTAACGACTTGTTTTCGTTCACCATTTATATTCTTCCACCTCTTCACTCCAGAAGAAGATGCTTGACTTTTTGTTACCATTTCCAAGTTTACCGGTCCTTAAGTTGTGGTAAGGTGTGATCGATGTGGGAAATGGATTCGTTAGTGCTAACAATTAAGATGATTAAAGTAGTTGATGCATATAAGAAGTGATTGGGAATGAGAGTATAATTTACACTAGAACAGCTCATTTTCAGATCTATTAAATTCCAGTAGTACTGTAATTGCATTTTTTTTTGTAATATGAGTTTCAGAGGCGTTAAGTTTTCTTTTAATATTTATGAAAGGTTAACTAATGGCATCATTTTGACTAAAACTTAACTTGGGTTTCACTAGACACAAATTTTGTTTTTTTATACTTTTGTTCTTATCTGTTAACAAAATAGATTAATGAACTCATTCAGTGAATGACAAAAAATTTAAATGGTAAATCCTTGTTTTTGAAAAATTTAAAATAAAATTTTGGAAAAATTGTAACAAATGGGGTTTTGTTTCATAGACAATTATTTTAAAATACTGCCCGAGTGTAAGTGGGGGAAGTAAGTAAATGTCTACTTTTATATTTTTTCAAAGTTTCATGACCTTTAGAGTATGAAAAATAGCCCCCCCCCCCCATTTCCCGTTTGTCCGTCGTCCTTCCGTCTATCTATGGATTGATGGTTTGTTGGGGAATTTATTAAACAGATAATCTGTAATCTCCAAAACAACTGGACTGATTGTTATCAAATTAAATGCATTTTAGCAATATTGTGTAGATAGTAAAATAACCAAAATTTATAATCACCAAATATTATAATTTTTTGAAGATGTATTTTTGTAAGAATACTTTAAACGAAACAATTTTTTATAAATTTTTATATAACAGTAAAGTTAAAAATTGTGTTTAATATCATTGTATATTTAAATTCCAGTGTATATTCCAGATCGTTGTATTTTTATTTTTGTATTTAAAAATGTGCAGAAAATTTAAAATTAATTTATATGGGCCCGTAAACGTAAATGCTTTAGTCAACAGATTCATCTGACGTGGAGCCAATATCATGGTCTTCGTAATCAACAAGGTCAGCGCTTTCAATACTAGCAAGCGAAATGTTGTCTACCTAGAACATATTGTTAGTAGATTAGTGGTAAAATAACTAATGGGAGATCAACCTCGTCATGAACAAGCTCAAGAATTTCATCGAGAACCTCCCGACAAATATTGACCGAGATTCGATCTTCATCTATTTCAGATTCTTTCCCTTTGCTTTCTTCATCGTCATGATATTCGTAAGATTCTTCGAGTGATATACTTTCTTTTTCATCTTTAATTGACGGTTCTTCCTCATATCGTTCCCCTTCATATTGTTCTCCTTCTTGTTCCAAATACAGACTTAGAGACAAATCTTTTTGATGTATCATCGCAACGAGACTATTAACACTAAGAATCTGCTCCTAAAATATCGAACGTAAATTTGTGTCGACTGTGTAAGTGTTAGCCCAACTCTTTCTTCAAGATACGCATAAATTTCTTCCTTTAAATCAACAGAAGACTTTGTAAAGTATTGTCCAACAACTTCGTAAATATCGAACACCGGTTTTGTTTTCAGTAAGAGTCGTAAGATCATTATAATTAAACCTCTAATCTGAAACAAACAAAAAGTAATGATCACTTATCGGAATGGAAAAAAGTCTCATTTGCTACTTCGGGATGAGCGGCTAAATATTTTTGATCAGTACGTATTTGCTCTCGCTTGTACACATTTAACTTAGTTTGTTGATCCGGAGTTAAATCTTGTAACACATAATTTTTCATTCCATGTGGTATGTTGCAAGGATGAAAATCCATAATTGTATCCACATCCCATGAGTTGTCAGCCATTTTTGATAATTATTGCAAATGATCAAGAAAAAATGCTAAATAATATTTGATGAGTTCGTTTCGTAATTATTGTAGCTGAATATTTCTTGCCTTCTTCGTTTACAGTTAAAGCGTGGGATTTTCTCGTATCTAAATTTTATCTTTTACGTCATGCGTATTATAACTGACATTACTGACAAGCACTCTGCAGTTATTTATTTAAATTGTAAAACAGACTACTTGACTTTAATGCCATAATTAATTAATTTAGTGTTACAACAACCAGTTTTCTTGCTTCGTGTACATTTTCACGAGAGTGATTCTCAGTATTTTCATATTTTGATATTAGGGCCGTACCAAGCTAATATTATTTCGAGCATGTTTTGAATTTATAATTTTTATTATTATAAATTGTCCAACTATTCGATATTTCGATATTTATTCAAGAAACACGGCGGTTGAACAAACTGTCATAAATAAATTTTAGATTGTTGATTTGATTTCACTACATATTAATCTTTTTGCATCTGCTTTAATCAAATAACATTGTATGCAAATCATCAGCTGAATTTGTTGTTGTCACTGTTCGGTGTTCATACATTTAACAAGCAAGTAATCAATGATGTTTACTTAGTATAAACATTTGTGCAGTTTTGCCTAATCCTTACGCTTATTCCCATTAAAAATTTGATGACGTAACGTCAAAAGTTTCCAAAGCAAGTCTAATTTGAAATATATAAAATAATTCTTTACCCCTAGTTTATTAACCCGTATTATTTTTAACTTTATGCTTATAGGTCTTTGGAAAAAAAATCATTAATTGTACAACTATAGAATCGTTTATTCTGAAAATTTATACAGACCTACATATTTTAAGGTTATAATCTAAACATGTTAAACCGTTTAACCTGTTAATTCAGGACAGAAATTTTAATATAGGAGTATAATATATTGTAGACTGGTGACAAGTGGATCTGATAATGTAAAATAGATGTACACATACCTATTGGACCTTCAGTATTAGAAGTATTCCAGATATGTACCTAAACTACAGATTTTTAATGTCAAGAAAATTAAGAATGTTGCAAATTGGTGATGTGAACTTCTGAGATGAAAAATAGAAATTCTACGAAAGCATGTAATGTCAAAATTTTCCTGCACAAAATTCCTGCGATAATTAAACATTTGGCTTTGTTTTAATGTAAACAACAGTCTTATATATATTCCATTCCTAAACCTAATGGAATATAAAAAATGACGAGCGCAAAATGTTGAATAAATATTTGACTACTCGAAACCAAATTCATGCATTCATGTAATATACCGTGTGTGCACAACTTATGAACAAGTACTAGTAGTTAGTTCAACACTCGAACATGCCTGCATTATTGTACTGAAATCGAAATGTTCGAACTGAAGCTTCACCTCACGAAATGTCTCGAATCCAAGAGCATCAATAATTAGACTCGATAACTGTACTCTATGTACATATTTACTTTTTAAAACCCGTCATGAACTTTTATGAATATTGGCTTTGTTCGAATACAACGAATTCCATTTTTACTGTACAATATTTAACTAAGCAGCCGGTTCTATTGAAAACTTGGGAATCCGAAAATAATTTAATCGGACTGCTGTTTTTACATTTTTGCGTGTAATTTGTTTGCAAAAGACAGAACAACGTTGTATAAAAAGTGTTTTTCTTTTTACGACCCCTAAAACCAAGCACTGATGATTCTAATTTTGAACAATAAAAACAACGTCAAAAATTATTTCATTTGAATAAAATATGAATGGCATACACATTTGTGTTTTCATGTCCTACGATCTGTGAGAAACCGTAAAAAATTATTTTTTTTTTAATTCCTGAGCGTAAGCTAAGAGAGTTTTGTAATAAGGTCCATCCGACGAATCGCTGCGTTTCAGTTTTCTCGACGTTTTATGACCCCTACAGTACGAAAAAGTAGGTCTCCCGTTTCCATCTGTCTGTCGTCTGTATCAGTGTCTATTTATTACGTTTTTTCTTAATCTAAATGGATAGAAACAACGCAAATTTAGAATTATTAATAACGTAGTATGTAATGCTGTGCACTTTTTTAAATCTAGAGCCCCTCAGATGTAGTGTTTTCGCAACGTCAGTAGCAAACGCTGTCGTGCGGTAGGCTTAAAGTGGAGCAGAGGAAATACATAAATTATGTTCGGAGATGACAGTTATGGCTTGCACTCGTGTTGTATTTAACGATGGGGTTTGACTATTTTGGATATTATAAGTAAATATCTGAATTTCTTTGTAAAATAAAAATAATTAATTTTTAAAGCTAAATTTAAAAAAAAATCTGAAAATCACTGATAAGTATTTTAATTGTATATTTTATAAAGAAACAATTTATTAAAACAATTACGAACAATAAGAAAATAATAATAAAATATAAACTAAATTTAATAAAAACAATATTAATTTCAGTAATTCATAAAAATAAGAAATAAATAGCATAAAGATAAACAATAGAACAGTTACAATGTTTTTAAAATCTCGGGAAGATAAAACGAAAAGTAGAAAGTTTTAAGCCTATCTTTCATACGTGTTTCAAAAAAATCATGGTCCTGTTTAATTTTATTATATATGAATCCTTTCGGCGTCCAAACTACAAAATAACAATACATTTTGCCGGTAATACGAAGCTGTCCTTGTATTTGAAAATAACAGTTATGGCTTTTTTTTAAATGTAATTCGCCCGAAATACATTCAAGAAATTTAATTTTTCCTGTCTTTACTGCTTCATTTACCGTCAACTGTCTGCTGTTATAAGGACATTTGATTTCCACAATCCCATCTCGATCTATGAGTCCATCCGGTGATGCTCCCAAATAATATTCCTCTTCATCAACATACAAACCACAAGCGTCAATGGATTTTCCTATATGTTCGCTGAGTTCTTTTAGAGCGATTGGTTCATGTTGAATCCCGTAATTCGTGGCTGCTGAAGTGAAAGTTAGAAAACTTTGGTGTACTACCTTAACACGATCAGTTGTTTCTTTTAAATGGCATATTTTTCCAAAATTTGAAGCAGTTATCCTTTTCTTTCGCTCTTCAAACAATAATGCAGAATCCGCTTGATTTTTGTTTTTTTCTGTCAATTCTCATATATCTTTTTTACTCTTTTTTATATCATGTAAAAATATAGCTTTTCGTCTGGTTATTTCCTCCTCGTCTATCAAGGGTTGAACGTCTCCATAATCCTCGTCAGCTTCTTGGGATTTTTCAGCATTCTTCTTGCGTCGATTAGTTTTTAAATAAGTGAGCCTTTTTCTGCATGAGATGAGCTTTCTTTCTTTTTTTTGGACAAATGATTTTGTATATTTACCAGGACTCTTACCAGTAATTGCCTTGTGTAAAATAGAATGATATTTCGGTCCTTTATTGAAAGATATTCCAGCGGCATGACACCTTGTAAAATAGCTTCCTCTTTTAGAATAATCTACCCTCTTGCCACCTATAAATTTTGCCACTACGCTGTTATAGCATTCTGCCATATTATTTGTCATGTTTTTCAATAAACTTCTGCTGTTATATATTAATCGATTGGCAAAAGACAGTATATCATTATATAAACCGCAGGTCTTCATTTCTGGAATAAAGTTTTTTTCAGTGTCTTTCGTACCGTGGCAAAAGTAAGTGTCGCATCTCGAATGCTCTCCAAAAACATGACAAATGCTATTTTCAATATCTTTTTTGAGGCTTTCAGACTGGTTTTGAAATGGAACATTTTCTTGTCTTCTATGGTTTACTGCACATTCGACAGCCACTCTTAGTCTTTGCAAATTATTCTTCAAAAGTTGTCTTAGGAAAATAGGAACTTCAAGACCTTTTGAACTATATCTTTTTGAAGGCAATTGTTTTAAGTTATTGGAGTAGTTCCTCAAAAAGTGATTGGAACACTCAATCTTTTGGATGGGAACATTGCCATATGGTTTCACCGTTTGTAGTTTTTTAGTGACACTGCTGTCTCCATCTCCAACAAGCGAAATGTACCTAATGCCATGGATTTCTATACTGCGCGTAAACCCTTCAACGATAATATCCGCCTCCATCGATGTAGAGGAGCCAGTCCAGTTTTTAAAACATAGGTGATCGCCTTTTTCTAAATTACACATGGTACAAAATTTATTTCTAATGCCTAAAAACAGAAGTTTTCCTGTTTTTTGGCCTACGATACAAGCCGCACCAGAACGCGCATTGTACGCAGTACGGTATGACCGTTTGCACCAAGCTCCATCGGCAATAACGGTAATAAAAGGGATATTATTTTCATCTACATCACCACTTTCGCGAGCCAATTTTGCTTCCATTTTTCCAGCTTTAAGCATACTTCCCCAACAACTTTCTTTTATTACTTCAGTTAGATCATCTTCGATAGACCTAAATAAAGTATACAACATGGTGGGTATGTTGAGTGTACTCGCGAATTCACATAACTGGGAGTAACCACATCCAATACTTAGGGTTCCTAGAACGCTTGCCCCGATCACGTTCAAATTTCCATCATTCCCGGATGTTTTCACTTTGTGTTGAATTTGACATAATCTACATTCCAATATAATTTCGGAAATAAATCCTTTTTGGATTTCTTTAACCACCTTCACTTCTCTCATTGAACAAGAAAAGAGTTCACAATGAGGGAAAGCCGAAATTTGGTCTAATACATATTGTCAATCCACAATTCTGTTACCTTCCAGAATTTTTGCTTCATGTTGAGTGCAAATCTAAAAATAAATTAAACCGATGAAAAATGTACTTATGCTGAAAATTCCACTCACTATTTTTTATCCAATCAAAAATCATTTTCCTCACAACAACCAATGAAATCATTATTTTGGTGAGAATATAATTCATGGATCACATGACCCCATTTCTTCCAATAGGATTTGTTCATGCCCTTAGTTACATGTCTATCACAGCGATAATAATTTTATTGCCTTATTGTGGTCTGTTGCTACCTAAATTTAAAAACTGTCAAATTGACAAATTTTAGAATTTCATAAATTTTTTCGTCTTTTATGGCTTGCCAAAGTTGGGGGCAAGCTCAAAACGACGAAATCAATTTTATTATCAAAAAATGTGTTCATTTATTATATTCTCATGTTGAATATAACTCGTGATATGATTAATAATCAAAGATATGGCTCGTGAAACCGAA